CAGTGTGATATATGTGTTTACAAAGAAGTTATCATATCTGCTACAGCTTCTGGTGGATGCCCAACTCATATCCAATACACTACAGAGTCACTGGTGATGCAAAAAGTTAGATTATAGAAACATAACATTTAGACAACAAGGGACCATTTAGGTTGTCTTTGCACTCCCAGCTTTTAGTAAAATAAAAATTTCAACCCACCCTTTATTCTTATTTGCTTGTAAAATGTCAGCCTCCACTATTCTCAACAAAAACTCATTCCATAAGCCAATCACCCTTTTAGTAAAAACAAAACTGTATTGTAAATAATTCAAGAGCACCTGTTAAAAGAAACTTTTAAAAAATCCTATAGTGAAATTATGATATTATAAAAGAAAGTTAGTATGGATTTACTAAAGGGAAATCTTACGTTAATAATATTTTTAACTTTTTGTTTTTTCAGGGTGTTATTTGGATTATAAAATTGGTAAATATTTGGTATATTTAGATGTTTAAAAAGCTTTTGATAAAGTGCTATAAGTCAAATTAATAAAGAAAATGACATTTTTAGGGGTTGGTGAAAGACTAGTAGTTAACTGGACAAAAGGGTTGGTGGGTGAGAGAAAGCATAAAGTTGTTAATGAAATCCAGCCAATCTGAACCTTTGTTGATAAAGGTGTACCTAAGGGGTCAGTGCTTGGGTCTTTGCTCTTTATTTTTTACATTAATGAGATTGATAGAAATATTATTCTTAAATTAGTTTGTCAAATAACATTAAACTCTTGGGTATTTTTAACTGTATTAAAATATTTAAATATTTCAAATTGGATGAGTTGGTAAGTTGGAAAAGTTTTGAAAAATTATCTATAATTATAGTACGTTAATTTGGTAACGTATTTGGGTTATCATAATTTGGACCACATATTTAATATAAAAGAGAAATTCTTCTGAAGAAAATGATCTTGGCACAGTGGTAGATAAGTCCTTCAAAGGCAGTATTCAGTTGGAATGTTCTGAACAATTTTAGTCCCTTTATGTAAGAAAGGATACTGACTTGTTGAAAAAGGTTCAGAGGAAGATACTAGAATGATTCTGGGGATGGAAGAGTTATCTGAAAAAAGGGGTAAAAAGTTGATCATATTGAGTTTATGAGGTTATAAAGATAAAAGGATGAAGGAAAACAACTTTCAAGTTTAAGATTTGGAAAAAAAATAGGATAGGCTCTAGAGACAGTTTCATTTTTTTTAACATGGTTATTGTTCTTTCTAGTAGTGGTGGCCAGCATGTTATAAGAGGAATCAACGATTTCCTGAAAAGTAAGGGTGGATTTTGTTTACACTTTTTTGAGTTGTGTGTGGGAATGCATGGACAGATAGTAGGAGCAAATCATGCCTTTGTTCGTATGTTAAGTATTAAAAGGGATATTTATGTCAGTTTGTTTTGAAAGACTCATTATACAATATAAGAAATTAGGAGTATCTTGGTATTCAACTATAAGTAAGTTTGCAGGACATACATTTTTTAAAAATTATTTAATGTATAGTGACTACTAGGTAAAATAAAACACTTACACTAAATAAATGCTTGGTTGTTTTATATTATTAAATATTTTTAGCCAAAATTAAAATGAATATTATTTTACTTTAGCAAGAAAGCTAAAATTTGGAGAACCTATCATAAAAGTTGTGCCCATCTGACAGAAACTTGTTAATCAATTAAACTTCCCTATTTGGAACTCGGTGGAATAAAATGATATTTATTTTTGTTTTTGCAGTTTCATCAAACTCAATGAATGGAATAACAATGTGTCCAGGTGGGTTGTCAATGTATTCAGATGTAACTTATTTAGAAATAGGTTCAGAAAAAAGCCTATACTAATAAACTGCATCCAGTATTTTTGCAGACGGTTTATGTATCTGTTCTAGGCCTACATACATGTATGTAGTAATACTTAGACTGAGTAGAATGTTTCTTACAAAATTGTATCTCACTACATTAAAGTAGTTCCCTATTTTAAATTCTTGTAAAATTGTAATATGATGGGGATTTCTTTTTACTTTCACTTACATGTAGAAATAGAGCTCAATTTTTGAAGTTGTAGATTCAGAAATGTCAGAACTAATTGTCTGATGATTACAACTCTAGGGGGCATCAAAAGTTACACTCTGTATTAGTCAGTTGTACTTGGGGTCAAGTAATTCATGTGGGGTTGAGAATTAATATGAGAAAATGTGAAACATATACTGAATAACCAATGTTTTGAAAGCACATTTTTCTGTAAGTAAAGGGATATATCTCATTTAATTTAGAGTATTTGTTACATAATGAAGTAAGCAATAAATTGGTATAGAAAATTCAACATTTGGATAACATTATTAAGTGTAAAAAAACACAATGTAATCTTTTATATAACTTGTTACCCAATAATATGAATAATAGATATATCAAGATAAAAATTGTTGTTTGAATCAACTTTTTGTTTTGTGAAAAACTGATTACAGTGTTTTAAGATACCTAGAATACAGAGAATTAAACATTTCGTAGTATCTGTTTCAAGAACAGTTTGTGTAAGATATGAGTGTGCACTAGTTGTTCTATAGTTTCACATAGGGATGCTCAAACCTTTAAGCCTAATGGGCTATTTACATTTCTAGGCTGTAGCTATAAGACCAAAAACTTCACTAACTTACTCATACCTCATACACAGCAGACACATGACCTACACTTTGAGGGTTAAACTATTTGCACAGGAAGCCAGGGGACTGATTAATTAAAATATACAAACTCAAAAATAATTTAAGTATTTTTTTAGCATTTGGAAACCAAACACACTGTATTTTTTGAATGCACAGTTTTTATAATGGATTTGAATGATACCCTTCCATGGGCCAAACCAGATATGGTTTTGGGCCAAATATATAGTTTGTGAATACTTAATTTAATATATTTGTGATGTAGCAAATTAACATTATTGTGTGTTTGTGTTTCAGTTTGTAACATAGTGAATGTATTGAAAGCCTTGAATCATAAAACTGAGAATGTAATTTAGTTTAAAATATTTTTATTTGGAATGAATTGCTAAGATACATAAACGTTTAGTACTTTGATGAAAGTTATTCCCTCTGTAATAAACAAAACCCATGTTTATTTCAAGATTTCTGATTACCTGTGCTCTCTTGCTCTGTCTTTTTGTACCCTCTGTCAACAGTGTAATGCAAACAGGGGGCACCTAAAAATTACCAGTGTCAGGTAATTATTACCAGAAAAACGTCCACGATACTTATGGTATATAACATCCTAACTTCCATTTTATTTAAACTTTTTTTAAATTCCAAAAAATTTAATACAGATTTAAAGTTTATAATGGGCCAATCAAAACATTGATATAACCAGGGTCAAACAAAAACAATTCATTAAATATAACATTAGAAATCAAAATAAAAAACTTTCAAACAACTAAGATAAAAATTTTATTACTTACAAAAAAAAATTAGTAAATCCGTGCCTGGCCAGGACAAGGTACAAACATTAATAAACAATATAGCATAAATCTCAAAGTGTTTTAGACAGAAGGTGAGTTAGTGCTTTAATGTAACTAAAAGTTGATAGTTGAACTAAATGACAGAATGAATAATAAATTAACGTTAAACAAAACCATAACAAAATAAAAGTAGAATTTGTTACCTCGCAAGTTTTACTAGTTTCTTCTTTAGAATAAGAAATAGAATGAAAACTGAAGGTTTTACAGCTCAAGACACAACAGTTTAAAGTATTAAACCCTAACTTGGTAACCTGGAACATGGGTTCAAACCCAGCTTGGTCTCAGTTTCAGGTAACAAAATTATATTCTTTAGGATAGTGTGAATGCTAATTTCGACTTCATGTACATCAAGTAGAGCTATACGTCTAGTTTTTCAGTCATTTTGTGTAGTTTTGTGATGTACTCAACATACCAATTCAACAAAGGACAAAAAAAAGAGATGAATTTTGTGATTTATGAGGAATCAGAATTTATTTTTGTGAATATTTAAAATGTAACATTTGATTACTAAAATTTGCTGAACCTAAATTATTTCAAATGTAGTAAATACGTTACATGTTTTTATAACTTATATAAAAAATTAATGCTTTACATGTGATTCTAAAACTTCCAAACAGATATTTGACTTTTGAAATATTTTCCCTCAACATTTGCAGACAAATGACACCAAGTAACTTTATATGAAGAAGTGAATGGAAGGTGTTGACTTTTATATATATAATAATAATTTTGCTGCATGTAACTTTATATGAAGAAGTGAATAAAAGGTGTTGACTTTTATATATAATAATAATTTCACTGCATGTAACTTTATATGAAGAAGTGAATAAAAGGTGTTGACTTTTATATATAATAATAATTTTACTGCATGTAACTTTATATGAAGAAGTGAATAAAAGGTGTTGACTTTTATATACAATAATAATTTTACTGCATGTGTCAGTAGAATTTATACGTACAGTAAAATATATGTATGGATTTTCCTAATGCTTCATTTAAACCCACTCAAGTGATAATACAGTTTAAAAATATTTGCAGTGAAAACCAATCTCCAGCACATTACACCTACGTAACAATTAATGACCCCCAGAAATATTCATTAAACTGCAAGAGAGCATCTGTCGTCACTTCCCATAATATCTCAAATGAGCAATGTTTTAATTATCATTGCACCCATCCCTTTTAATGCAACTGGTTCATATGTGGCAGAGCAGAGCAAATTTGAAGGGTCTGAGATATACAGGCCTTCATGTACATATAAATAGTGAAGATCTATATATCTAATAGTGGTATTTGGAAGAAGTGTTAAAGGGTTACTATGCTTCATGTTTACAGCTTTGAATGGGAGTCCTTCCTAGCCTCCCATCTTGCTGTTATTTGAGTCTGACATACACAGCAATGTAGTTTTTCTGATCACTTGTGAACCATGTTGTGTCCAAGAGTTGTCTTCTCCCAAGCACCTTTACCATGTGAAGTTACAAAAAAAGTTCCATTCAAAATTGAGTTGAAGTCCAATTTGTGGTGGAAAAAAACTGTGAAAAGTGTACTAAAATACTGAATTTTCTTCAGATGGGGCAGGTTTTCCTTCAGGCCTTGTTGAAAATCCTTCTTTGGCCAAGGAAACAATGACTGCTGTTTTCCATGGAGTTAATTCACAACCCTTGGACATGGTAACATCACACACATTGTAGCAGATAGTCTTATAAATTGACTATCAGTAAGACCCTTTTTTTATTGCCAAAATAGCTGATGCAATACCCAGATAGTCTATAAAGCTGCTGAGTTAGTAATTATATAGTATTGCATCATCCATGAAACATATTTGCACCAATATGCATTAGGGCCTCAAGACAGAAGATGATTCCAAAGAAAAGTGTGAAAAATTGGGTGATGTAATACACATATTTTGTGCCAGATTATGCAATATTTACAATGATTAAATGGTTATGAGATTAATCATAGGCATTTACAAAGATATATTTTCATAATACTGACAAATAATTTTGATAAAATTATAACGTGAAGATTTGCAGAACAAAGATAAATATTTAGTTTTTTACTTTTATATTAATGTCTGTGGAATGTAGTATTGAATGGGTCATTCTACGACAAATCTCCCCTGTAAATAATATACTACATTGTAATCTACACAAAACACAGTACATAGGATTGATCTAAACAAAATAACAAAATAAAATAATAATCAATGTGATTGAGTCATTTGGCCTAAAGCTTATACAGAGATCAAAATTTGGTTGATAGATGACATTCTAATTTTTTATGAGTTTTTTATTCAAAAAATTATTTGTGCTAGAGACTTGTATTTGGTGTGTTTTTTTTTTTGGTGGAATTTTTTGAGAATTATAAAAATATCTTGTCAAATGACTTTGGAAAGCATAAGACAATATTACTTCTTAAAATAAAGCTCATCATTTTTTACCTTGGGGTGAAACTCCAAAAATAAAAATCTGAAAACACTTTATATGGAAAGGTCAGTATCACTGCCTCTCAATTACAAAATTATGGGAAGGTAATGTTATTCACACATTCACACTGCTGTGAAAGAAACCAAACCCAAGCAAGCACTTACATCCCAGAGAATTTTACTGTTTAGGCAGAAAGGTTTGTAAATAACTGAAGTGTATGCTTTATTTCAATAAGGTGACATTACCAAGAAAATATCACTACGACAGTGAATAATTTCTAATTTTCCTCTGAGTAAAAAATCACCCCAATCAGTGGCATTTTCTCTAATATCACAGATCTTGATTGTGGAGCTTGTATTTTCCTGTGGAATATTAACTGAAGTTTGGACATTGTATAGCATGTCTCAGTGGGTATTCAGTTTTTGTCCTTTTCTGGTCAGAAGTACTTTCATGATTTTCCCTCTGGATGCATAAATTCGGTGTAAAATCTTCTAGATTCTCCATATTGGTTTACAGATATTCCAATTAGAGCTGGGCAATTACTGGACTTTGTTAATTGATTAATCATAAAAAAAAACCTAATCCATTATTCTCACATGATATTACTTAAAAAAAACAAATATAATTCTAAAGCAAAAATGAGAATATTGAAAACAAATAGCCCATTGTTTAACTTGTGCTCAACAATAAACATATATAATGGCATTATTTCAATTAACTGATAGTTGGAATAATCAAAAATGTTATTAATCAGAAACCTTAATTGCAGTTAGTTTCTAAAATCATGAGTCATAACACTAATGGATTAAGCTAAACACTAAGCAGGCTTTACCATGTCAGATGTTCTT